AAAAAGAGGAATGAGGATCCCTCAGCTTCCAGGACATTAGGAGATAGTTAAGTACTGGGTGTGTTAAGTACTTTGGAAGAGAAGTTGAGCAAGACTTTGGCATGGGTAGTACCGAAAGGTCTGGGGTCCTTGAGGGATGGTTTAAACCTATCCTTAGGCTCCCTTCCTGTGGCATAGAGTCTTGACTCCCCAGGTTTTTCTTGTTTCCCAAAGGCCATTACTTTTTTAAAGGAATTTTCCAGAAAGCCTCTGTTTCACAACCTCAATTTTTGTGATGGGAACTCCCTTGTTCTTGGCAACTAGGAGGGCCAGCTTCGGGGCATGCAAAAAATTGCAAATTCTGTATTTTTATCTCAAAAGATCAACTCTCCTATCTTTTCTTTTTCCAGTACAACCAAACGTTTAAAGTGGGCATCAGTGAGCAAAGGTCAAGATGGAATGTGGGTTGTTGGTCTGTAGTCATGCTAACTGTCATTTCCCCTGTATCTGTCTTCCTCAGTTCCCAGGTCCAGGCCTGAGGATGGTGGGGATCGAGCCATGATCCTATATTCATAGCCCCAGGGCAAAACATAAGACTCGGGATGAGGCATAAAGGCAGGAAGATGAAGGACCCAGGGGCTGATAAAACATTAATTTCAATGGGTCCAGAGTCCAGAGATGGTCCACTTGGCAGTAGTAGCTATAGCTTCTGCTTTATTGACTTGGGTGTGATGAATCCATGGTGTGATGCCAGCTACCTTCCCAGCCGTAGGAGTGAAGTGAATTGCTATGTAGGGTCCTTGCCAAGTTGGTTTCAGAGCCCCTTTAGCTACCTGCTTGACCCAGACACTATCACCCAACTCCAACAAGAGGAAACCACTTGTGAATTCAGAGGTCAGCTGGGTCTCTCAACTAGTCCAGTGAATAGCCTTTATGGAGTACTGGGGAACCTATAGTGACTTGAGAAAGAAGTGGTTAGAGACTTCTACTGACTTCTGGTTTCTGAGCTTGAGAAGCAGTGGGGGAGATCTTTCAAACACAACCTCATAGGGGGTTGAATCCCTCCCTATACAGAGTGCAGCAGACCCAAAGTAAAGAAAAGGAGAGGTCTCTCCCACCATTCACCAGGCTATAATGAGTTTTTGTAGTTTGTTTTAACCCATTCTTTCTACCTGCCCAATGCCCAATGCACAATAATGTTTTCAATCTATGTCTCAAGTTCTAGCTATTAATTGAGAGGTTTGGCTATGAAAGCCAGGCCATTGTTAGACCCTGTTGCTGAGGGGGTAGGCAATTTAGGGGTCCCGTTCCTGGAGGAGTTTTTAAGCTACTATATGAGCCGTTTCAATCTTGGTGTGGAATGTTTCTATCCACCAGAAATGGTCTCTACAAAAACTAGCAGGTACTTGTATCTTCCCCTGGCAGGCTGGATCTCAGTGAAGTCAGTTTTCCAGAGTTCACCTAGGTGTTGGTTTCTCATTCTGACCCCTCTGTTTTGGATTTACTTGAGCACACATCTGGCATTTGGCTGAGACATCCCATGCCAGGCTCTCCAGTCTAGGTATAATATATCTTGGTCTGAACAACTCAGAAAGTTTTGTGGACCCCAGATGAGTAGCCTGATAAAGGTCAATTACCAGAGTCCTACCAATTGTTTCTGGGAGAATGATCTTTCCCTCTGGTGTCCTCTCATCTATTTCCTCTTGGTTGTACTATGGAGTCTCAGGCAACACCTGGTCAGGGTGTGTCCTCAGACTATCAATAGGCCCCACTGGTCTTAAGGCCATTAGTCAGGCAGCAAGATCAGTGGTCCAGTTACCTCTTGCTTCAGGGAAGTCATCTTTGTGATGTCTTCATCAATGGAGGACAGCATAGGGGAAGCCAGATATCCTCTGGGAGAGCTAAAATTTTTTCTTTGTTTTCAGTGTCCTCTCCCCCAGTGATGAGAAGCCCTGTTTCTCTAGAGATTGTACTGTGGACATGCACAGTAGTAAGCACATAGCAACTGTCCATGAATACAGCAGTGGACCCTCCTTTTCCCCATTAGAGAGGGTCTAGGTGATCAGTTCTGCTCTCTGGGCTGAGGTACCTGGCCTAGTCCCAAGTCCTTTCAGGATCTGAAGTGACTACTGCAACTCCTGCATCCCTGCTTTTATCTTTCATCTTGTGACAGTCCCGGATAAGCACCTGCAGGTCGTCCTCAGGTCAGAAGGCAGCAGAACCGACTGCTAGATTCAAGAATGGTCCAAAAGTAGAGCCTGATACTGGGTCACATACAGCCAGCATTCTGGTGTTGCTCAGGGAAGGGCTTATAGGGGAGGTGCTGTAAGTCTAACCTCATGAGGTGTAAGTATAACAGCATGAAGTGCTCTAAGTATAAGATCCTGTCCCAGAGCTTACTGTTGTTTGTTTGTTGTTTTTCATTAAACTGGCAGTAGCCACCACTGCTCTTAGGCAGGTGGGCCATCCTGTAGTTACAGGGTCCAATCATTTGAACAGGTATGCCGCAGTATGTCCATGGCCCCAAAGTTTGGGTTAGAACCCCTTTTGTCTTTTGTTTTGTGGATGAAAAGTTCTGAAACATCTGGAAGTGCTAGGGGCAGAAGCTGAAGTAGAGCTGCTTTAAAAGCCTCAAATGCCTTTTGTTTAGTCTCAGTCTAGATTAGGGGCTCAGTGCCCCCCCAACACACACATATACATCTTGTGCTGGTGTATACAAGTCTTGGCTGTTTCCACAAACTCTGGTATCCAGAGGCAGCAGTACCTCGCCACACCTAGGCACTCTCAAACCTTCTCTTAATCTTTGGAGTTAGGACCTGCCTCCCCTCCGCTGGGAGCCTCTGATGTACAAAGTTGGGCTGACTTAGCCAATATCCTTAAGGTAATGCTTGCAGCAGTCCCTCATTGGCCTTCTTATACGCTACTCTAGTTTGGGAGGTTGGGAGAAGGTCATCTACATATTGTAAGAGTATGGTTCCAGGAAACCTCTGACGGAAGGGCAGGAGGTCAGCATTCAATGTCTCATCACACAAGGTTGGAGAATTTTTAAATCCCGGGGCAACCTGGTCCGTGTAAGTTACCTGCTGCAACCTCCCTCTGGGCCTGTCTATTTAAAAGCAAAGATGAGTTGACTCACCTCTGCCAATGAGAGGCTGGAGTATGCATCATTCAGATCCAAGATGGTGTACACATGTTTCTCTGGAAGAATCAGACTCATGAGAACCAGAGGTCCCAGGTTTCTTCATAGGCAGCAGAGGTGTATTCCAGGGTGACAGGCAGGGCACCGGGATGTCTGTCTCTCCAAGCCAGACAATATGACTGCAATTTCCCTTTTTGTTTCCAGAGTCATTGGGTATTGTTTAATCTGAACAGGGGTAGCTGGACGGGCTAGTTGAACATTTATAGAAACTTGGTGTTGGAGCAGTCCTACACACATGTGGTACACTGACATGTATGCAGGCAAAACACCCGTGTACATGCAGATTAAAAAAATAAAAAAGAGACTTGAAATGCCACCCATACTTGTAAATGCTTCAAAATTATTATAAATATAATACCTGCCTGCTTGTTATTTGGTGTGCTGATGAAAAACTGATATGTGACTAAATAAGAAGCCAGGTTGTTTAAAATGTTTATTACTGTACTTCAATATAATTGAGTTTGGCTATTATTCTCTATATTTTATTTTATATGTTTGAAAATGTCATTTAGAAAAGAAGTCCCTAGATTCCACTAGACAATCAACAAGGGCCCTGTTTCAGGCCAAAGAAGCTTTAGGACCTTCATGATCCAGGATATTTTCATTATATTGTATGATCAAAACAAGGCTGTGGATGAAGTTAATGTGCCATAGTTTAAAACAAGGAAAGAGGCTGGAAGAGGCAATTCATGTTACCCTAATTCTACTCACTTCAGAGAATGAATATTATGGCTGTGCCCAAACACCTTAGAGGCCAGGAAATGTAGTGTAACTGGGATGCTACATGTACAGACCCAAGTTTCCATCGCTAGTGATCAGAGGAACAACATCTCCAGTTTGCACATGGGTGCCATAGAGTCAAGAAGAAAGTCCCTGTTTCTGGTAGGTGACATCATTCACAAGGACAGGGAGAGGAACTGGCAGGCAGTGAGTGACATCAGAGAATTGGCTAATAGAACAGGCTGACCTTGGAGATTGCTATGAACAGGGTAAACTTAGATCTGCTCTCCGGAAGCAACTCTGTTTTCAGCCTTTGCTCATTTCAATGATGTAAATGTTTCCACAGTGGTCTGTTTTGGCTAAGAAGAACTGTGTACAATGTTGCTTATTGGCTAGCATGAGGCAGGTTTAACACACCTCTGCCCTTGACCATTTCTAATGCAGACTGCCTGAGGACATTTAATAGCCAGAGCTCAAGCTGAGGTGTAGGAGCGAGTGAGACATCCCTGTAGGAATAGATGAGATTACCCAGCTCTAAGCCTCCACAGAAGAACTGTGGTCTGCAGCTAGTTCTCTCACATGAGAAAATGTGCTCTAGAATGTTCATCGACATAGTTGAAGAAGGGCACAAAGGGAAATGAGACACCCTGCCGCATGTACTGTGACAAAGTATGCATGTTAGACTAACGGGAGCTGAGAGGAAAGAAAACCCAGTTTTTCACCTCGAGATTAAACAAAAGTTTTCCAGATTTACCATAGAGCAGGGTGAGTACTGGAAGGTGTCCATCCGGGAGGGATGGAACAAGAGGGCATGGACAGTGACAGGGAAACATGGAAGAATAAGGCATATTCGAAGGTCGACATGAATGTGGTGTCTCCACTCCTGTAACCTAACTTTCACAAACTGTTACTTCATTCACCTTGTTGATTTACTTCATCTTCTGGACACACATGGGATAAGTATTAGATTTTTTACATTCACAGATAAACAACATAAGCATAAATTTAATGAAACATGGGTTGGAAATCTAAGAGTTGTAAAATTGCAATGATTTTTTTTTTCAGGATTGGTAAAATTCTGTCTGTGCATACTACTTTCTAGGTAGAAGAGCGCGGGTCAGAACAGATATGGTAACTCACGCATGATAAAACTCACCTAAACACTAGGAAAACTGGGTAAGTCTTAGGCTGGGGAGGCCTTTGACCACTATGTTGCCTTACTAGACATCTAGATACGCTATTGTACATTCTTAGAAAGCACGAGTGGGTGGAAATGGAAGTTGGTCTGAGAAGCTGGATTATGTTTTTTTTTAATTACTCATTCCACAAGCATTATGCTTGTCAGTGACACAGTGGGTACGAGGCATACAATGCGGACACAGACGTGATTCCAGTGCTTTATGAACTGGCAGGTCCTGGTTCTCAGGAAGTAATTGAATATTGAATGTACTGTACAATGAGTGACACAGATTAGATCAGCCATGACGTCTTTCCTCCCGAATTCATTCATTTCATCCCTACACCATCCAGACACAGACTTCAATCCTTCTAGAAGTTCTCCCAAGCACCATGTTTCCATAACTGGCAAGTCACAGCTCGATCATTAGACAGTGGTTTAGTACGAGCTGCAACTGGCCATTGTATCTTGCTTAAAACAGTTAACTAGCTGTGACCTGACTTTTTTCTCTTGACTTTGTTACTGAAATCACAGTCTGTACCCCAAAAAGCCAAGTTTAGCCACCCATCCTTGAGAAGTCAATTAAAGCAGCCAAATGGATATCATTTGGCATGAAGCTCCAAGGGAGAGGTAGCTGGTGCAGAGATACTGAAAAGAGAGACAGGGACATCAGTGGCCGCACTGAAGTCTATCTTCAAGGTCCTGAAGGACACTGAAGTTGTATGGCTATGCATATCTAAGCAGTGTGGCCCTGCCCACTGTTGACCCCTCGCTGTCTCTATAAGGATGTAAGTCTGACAAGAGTCCTCTGCTCCTGCCGTCCCAGGCTTTTCTTCTCACGGCATGAGATTCTTAGGAAAATTCCAATTTCTTAAGATCTGCTGATTTAATAGTCTGATAGCTAAAGTGTCTCTTTAGAATATATTCATTATTATATTACATTTGGATTTCTGCATGAGTATTACCTGGTTTTGCTCTGTACCAATAAGACGCAAACAGAATCTTTTTAGAGACTATCAAGTTAATTCACCCATCCAAAAGCTTTTCAGACCACCCAAAAACATTCTAATAAAACCCAGAGAGGGGGGTCTATGTGCATAGCATCTGGTGACTCTTGTTTCCGTTCTCCAAGATCACTGAAATGGGTGTGATTAGGAGGAGCGGGCGGCTGTTACCGTTGGTCCCCTCTGCTTCGGTCCTCCCCCTCGTCATCCCCTCCTGCCGCCTCTTTCCCTTCCCTCTAGTGGTGCATAACCTTCCTGAATTTGTCTTTTACACAGAGTAATATAGACTCCTTCCCCCAGAGGAATTCCCACTTCAAGATTCATACTTGGTGCTCAGCAAAACAGGAGTCACTCACTACAGGACCAACTTTGTTTAAAGGTACCTTACAGATTACTTTTGTAACATAAGCATATTCTTAGGGTCCCATCAGTTAGCTTCTGTACCCCTCAAAGAACCTGCTGGCTAATTAATGTTTCTGCTTCTCTTTGAGACTGTGGTGAGTGAAAGTGGGGTGTTTCTGTAGGAAAGGAACACAGAGAGAGAGCATGGCGGGGGGGGGGGGGACATTTGACTTCCATTTCAGGGTTGAGGAGGAGGAGACCCTTCAAACCAAAGCCTGAGTAAGAAATGGTCAACAGGGTGGACAAAGGGGTTGTTCAAAAGACGGAAGAAAAAAGAAGGTGACTCACGGAAGATGGCCAAGTCTTAAATGAATTACAAGTCACAATGAAACAGTAAGTGCTGAGGACTCCTCCTCACCTTGGTTCCTTCTCTTGTGCTCTTTCCTAGGATGCTGACCATGTTCTCAAATATAGAGTGTCAGAAAATGCTGCTGGTGGTCATGTCACTTTCAATAACTACCTGGATACTTTTTGGAATTTCTCAGAATTCCACAAAGGTAGGAATGCATTTTTCCACTTTGACCAGAAGCTGCTACCTGTGTGAGCTATCTCCTCAGAGTCTTTTACCCAACCTCCCATTCCAACTCAGGTTCATTCTCCTCTATTTATGGGGTGTTAGAGGGTGAGGACACTAAGTGTCATACTTCCTCACTTCCCATTCATCCTCAGGGTCTTATAATCAGTCTTGTACCTCTCACAGGCACCCTAAATGGCTCTTGCTAAGGCCACCAACTGCCATATCACTAAACAAGTACTTGTCACTAAATCTGGGTGTATATCCTTGGCTATCTAAGTCCAGCCTGCTACTACCTTTTTCCATACAGTGGTTATTTTTAGTAACCAATATGCCTTATAGATTTTGGATATCAGATGATAATTAGAAAAGGCTTACCACTGGAAGTTTATGTAGGAATTCAGCCACGTTTTGTTATGTTTTTCCTTGTGGCATTCCTGTATTTAGATATCAGGTACATGTACTCCCATCACTCAGGAGACAGAAACAGGAGGATTGTGAATTTAAGGCCAGCCTGAACTGTGTAACAAAACCGTCATCTCAAAAAATTAAATAAAAATTAACTATAATTCCAATCAGATAAGTTAGAACACAATGAGGATTTTTGTCCTTAATCTATTAAAATATAAATTATGTTGAGATATTTTCCCTTCTGGATCCATGTTTATATATGCCTATATAAACATGTAATATATATAGACATTATATATACATATATATATAAACATTATATATACATATATATATATCATGTAATAACATTTTGGAGAGAAAGAATTTAAAAGCCATGTTCATGGGTAAGAAAAGTCTTCACCTTCCCTGTATTATACTAATCAAGTTTTAGAATAAAATGTATCATAAAACCAACTGGACAGATTTCCTCATTATGCACATTAGCAATAATTGAACTAACCAACAGAAACATCCAGCCATCTGTCCAGTGAAAAAGCAGCAAACAGTAGTTACTGGCTTCAAGATGTATAGGATAGGGAAGAGCAAACTCACTTTTATCAACTTCTTACTCTCCAAGCTCTTATTTTAGAATGAATAATTTCTGTAAAACTCTAACTCATTGTGAGTTAAAATGGCTGGGAGCAGGTTCATTTTTATAGTGCATTACACCTCCTGTCATTTCAGCTTTGGACTGCTCTGAACACATCCATCTCCTTCCATTCCTGGAACACCTCCATGAAGTCCTCATGTCCTGAAATGCCAATGAATCAGTCAAAGTTACCAACAGAGACTAAGCTAAGAGGAGAGATCCCTAAAATGACGACACCTGTCAAGTCACCAACAGAGAAAGAGCTGAGAGTCAGGGAGATCCTGTCGAAGCTAGATGGGCAGATCCCACCCAGACCCTTCACCCACCTCAACACCACCACCAGTGCCACACACAGCACAGCCACCATCCTCAACCCTCGAGTTCAATACTGTAAAGGGGACCAGCTGGACATCCTAGTAGAAGCCAGGGACTACCTAAGAAACAGGAAGGAGTATGGTGGAGACTTCCTGAGGGCCAGGATGTCCTCCCCAGCCCTGAAGGCAGGAGCTTCTGGAAAGGTGACAGACTTCAACAATGGCACCTACCTTGTCAGCTTCACTCTGTTCTGGGAAGGCCCGGTGGCCCTGTCTATCCTGCTCATCCATCCCAGTGAAGGAGTATCAGCTCTCTGGAGAGCAAGGAACCAAGGTTATGATAGAATTGCCTTCAAGGGTAAATTTGTTAATGGCACCTCCCAGGTCTTAACTGAATGTGGCCTGACCCTAAACTCAAGCAATGAACTCTGCAAATACCTGTACAGTGGCGGTGAAGAAGTCTTCTACTGTATGAAGCCTCAACACATGCCCTGTGAGGCCTTGACCCATGTGTGTACCAAGCAGCAAGATGTTTCTTTTCTTACTGACAAAGAAAAAGATCTTTTCCAGAAGTGAGTATATTCTCAGTACAATGAGAGGTTCCCCCAGGCAGAGCTACACTGTCCATCTCAATATTGAGCAAGACCTCAGACGCTTCCACCACTCAAGATTCCGGTAAGACCTATGTTGTCTTTACTGGGCCCCCGTTCATGCTACAGCTTGCATTCCTGTTGACATACTCAATAAAGGGGGCTGCCCAATAAAAGGGAACCAAATAAAGTATATTCCTCTGCTTCTCCCTGACCAGTGTTGACCTGTTTGGTCATGTTATTTTACTATAGATCTAGGTTTTACAAAATATCTTCCATATGAAACTATTCTGCTATGGCTCACAGATGTCTCACCTTCTCCCCCCCAAAAGATGCCTTGATAGTATCATGATCCTCCACCTCCTCCATCACATCCTGTACGGTTTGCCTCTTAAAATCTTTTGTCATCCATTTATCTCCATGTCCTGTGGTACTGTACCAGTTGAGACCGCCCTCTAGATGGCTCATCTCACCGTGACTATTGTGACAGCTAGCTGGTGGGACTCTCTTAGCTATCATACTTTACTTTGACTCTTTCTCAGTCTCTCTCTCTCTCTCTCTCTCTTTCTCTCTCCCCTCCCTCCCTCCCTTCTTCCCTCCCTCCCTCTTTTTCTCCTTTGCATACCATAGCAGGCTTTATTCATTTAGTTGGCAAACACAGTCAAAGCCTGTTCTAGGCCAGGTGTTTAGTACTATAGCCACAAAGCTCTGCTCGGCTCTATACTGCAGCCTGAGCAATCCTGCTAAGAAGTCAGCTCCCACTAGTCATCAGTTCATCTTCTGAGAAGATATGGCTCATGTGCACTTCTTTGGGTAGACGAGTCCTCCATCCTCCCCAACTTGTGGTCTAGCAATTCCTAGAAGCCCTCTACTGAACAGGCTCCTCAAACCTATTTGTCAGTATGCCTCCTCCTGGCAATCATAACTGTGGCCAGGCACACCTTTCTCCTTCTGCTTACAAACAGACACATAACTTCCAGATCTCCTTGCTCTCCATGGAGGTGGAAAACGCCTCATTGCTGAAAATAAACCATCGTGGTTTCTTCATGGGCTGCAGTGAAGATTTGCAAAGGTAACTGTCACCACACATCTCAGAGCTGTGAGCCAAGCCCTGAGACACCCTTCCAGCTGGAATCCTTTTCTGTTTACATGCAGACAAAATCTACAGCCTCCCCACACAGCTCCCCACCCCGATCCCCGCCACTGCTGACTCTGCAGCGGGTACACACACACACACACACACACACACACACACACACACACACACACACACATTTCTTTTTTCTTTACTTTGTAACAAAGTAAAATGCTGGTTTCTTAGCTACTCCTTTCTTAGAAGTTTTCTAAGTCAAGTTTAGAATCTTTTCTCCTTAAGCTTTCAAACACAAATGATTGGTGGAAGTAAAAGTAAACACCAAATATGGAAAAACAACCCACTGCAGAATCTTGCCTAGACATCCAAGCTTGAGCTCCTGGTGTGCAGTTCTCCACGCCCCTTCTGAGTGAGCGAGTGCGCAGCTGGGTTTCTAGTCTTTCCCTTTTATTTCTGATTGTGCAACTCACCCAATCTTTTCCTATGCACTAACTACCCCTAGATCCACAGCAGGCATTAATTTATGCACCACACTAAACTCTGCTTTCTACCAATCATTGAGAGAGGTCTTAAGGATACAGAGCGACCCAACAGATGGCCTACCTACCTTAGATAACTTTCACTCTTTATAAAACAAGTCTTCTGGGTTAAAAAAAAAAAAAAATTGAAAGGGAACTAGCAGAAGACATGCCTGAAAAAAAAAAAGAAGGGGCCCTGTGGTGAGAGGTCTATGTGCTACCATACGGAGTCTGGACTCCTCAGGTAAATGATGGGAGAGTGATTGACTTTAAATGATAACATGTGAGCATCTGCAGGGAGAAGATGCTGTGTCTGTTGTATTGAAGAATTTAGGTGGTCTTAAACTGACACCAGGAGGCTCATTGTGATTTAAGGATAAGACTATTTGAGTAGGTGGTGTGGAAGCAATTTTTTTTAAAAATGCAGATTTTATGGTTATTTTAAAGATTTATTTATTATGTATACAGTATTCTGCCTGTATGTGTCCCTGCAGGCCAGAAGAGGACACCAGATCTCATTACAAGTGGTGTGAGCCACAACGTGGTTGCTGGGAATTGAACTCAGGACCTCTGGAAGAGCAGTTGGTGCTCTTAACCACTTAGCCATCTCTCCAGCCCATAAATTTTTGTTTTGTTTTTTTTGTTTTTGTTTTTTGAGACAGGGTTTCTCTGTGTAGCTTTGCACCTTTCCTGGAACTCGCTTTGTAGACCAGGCTCACAGAGATCCGCCTGCCTCTGTCTCCCGAGTGCTGGGATTAAAGGCATGCGCCACTACCGCCCGGCTTTATGGTTATTTTAAAAATCTGAAGCTTCTAGACATACATTGACTGCATGTCGCAAATGAGTCCAATGTCCCAGACTCCTGGAACTCCCAATAGGGTGGAAAGTTTTCCCAAAGCCTACTTCATTTATAATACCCAGAGACCTTTCAAATAATAGTTTCTAGTCATATTATCAGAAGTTTAAAACGGACCCTTGCTTCCTTTACAAGCGGGTTATTCACATTACCTGTGTTCCACGACAAACTTCAGGCTAATTTGTCACTTTTGTTTTCTGAAGGTCCAACATAGGAGTTGAAATGATGAAGAACCCTAAGTACATTAGTGTCTCTCGATGCAACAGTAAGTCTCTTCTACCCTGCAGTCGCTGCTTCTCTTTCTTTTCTATTCTCTTGTTTTTGGAGATAAGGTCTAACTGTGTAGACCAGGCTAGCCTCAGACTCACAGAGGCCTGGCTGCCTCTGCCTCCTGAGTGCTGAGACTAGAGTGTGAGCCACCACACCCAGCGGAAGGTACTTCTTGATGTGTGCCTCTTGCAGAGGGAAGGCTTTTTATAGTATTGATTGTAATTTTCTTGATTATAATTCCTAATAAGTATCCAGGACACTAAACAGGCTGGGTGTCAAAGATAGAAACCAATTCAAAAAATTATTTCATATTCTTTTGATAACTTACTTCATCTAGATTCATCCCAAAGGTAAAAATATTCAAACTTGGCCATTCATATGCTTTCACCTAGGAATTCATATCTTAGGGCCCAAGCTACTGTGCAGATGTCTTTGATGAATAATGGTGGCTTCAACATTGTAGATTTAGTTTCTAAATCTCCATTAGCACAATCTCTAACGTTTAGCTGTACCGCTTACCAAGTTTATATGGTATTTTCATCTTATTAAATGTTCAGTGGCAAACACAAGGCAACATTACATAAGAAAGAGTATTTATACTGCCTTATCTCCAAAACAACTTCCCACAAAGCCCACTTTAGTTCATCAATAACACCAATACACTTGGCAACACGTAAGGATTTATTGCCAATATTCGTTCATTTATTCAATAAATACTTATTGAGGGTGTGGTAGATAATGAGGCATTGTGGGAAAATGAAGAAAAATAAAGGCTTAAAAACCTGGTAATGTAAAAACCATTCAGCCTACTGACTCTGTAAGAAGCCATGCACAGAACTCCCATTTCAGTGACTGGCTAACCCCAGAAAGATATCTGCAGTCAGGGAACAAGGGGGTGAAAAAAAGAAATCGCATAAAGACCACAGGAGAGTTGCCAGATATAAGTAATAATCATGCAAAGAATCAATTAAATTTGAGTAAATTCAAATTGCCTCTGTAGCTGTTAATTGAGATGAAGGAGAAATACCATGTCATGCACTCTCTAACAAAGTATTCTTCGCCAGAGTGATTGAGATTTAGTGTGTTATCCTGCACTTTTTCATCAATAACTTTTGATCGGATAAACTTTAGTAATGAGCAAAATTATCATGAGCAATTTTTAATAGGCCAGTCTGGCAGACATATTGTAGAATGTAACCAAGGATGAGGTTAGGAACAGCAAGAGCCGAAATCACTGTAATTCTTAAACCTCATGTTAGAGATTTCAGTGGCATTTTTTTTTTTTTTTTTGGGTAGAGTTTTAAAGTCACACTCTAAATGAGGAAGGAAGTGCTTTAAAGATTAATGTTCGTTCACAACTGAACAACTGGGCGTGGCCTAAAAGAAGACGCTTACAGATGTCACCAAGGGACATCATGAATGTAAATAGAAAAGATGCTGCTTCCAGAAGGAATGACTTCACGTTGAAAAGATGGTAGTTTCTCTGCATTCCTTTCTTATCACCACTATAACAAAGTGGTGCAAAATGAGGGGGAAACACACTGTTTTAGCTTGATATTTCAGGTGCTTAACATCAGTCTCATTGTCTTAGGGTTTCTATTTCTGTGAAGAGACACCATGGCCACGGTAACTCTTATCAAGGAAAGCACTTAATTGGGGCTGGCTTACAGTTCAGAGGTTCAGTCCATTATCATCATAGCAGGAAGCATGGTGGAGTGCAGGCAGACACGGTGCTGGAGAAGGAGCTGAGTGTTCTACATCTTGACTGCAGGCAGCAGAATGAGACTGACACACTGAGTGTGGCTTAAACATACATGAGACCTCCAAGCCCGCCCCCCACAGTGACACACTTCCTCCAACAAGGCCACACCTCCTAATAGAGCCACTCGCGACCAGGCATTCAAACACATGAATCTACAGGAGCCATTCCTATTCAAATCACCACACTTACTACACTCAGTCAAGGGACAGCTGACTGCATGTCTTTCTGGTTCAAGAGAAGAGTGTTGCTGTGCCTTCTGCAGTTTCTAGAGGCTGCCCACATCCCTTGTAGCCTACCCTCAGGCTCCAGAGCCACAACCATGTCAAATATTCACGCTACATCTCTCTTGTCCATCCTGCTGCCTCCTTCTTCAACTGATGAGATGAGGTTGACCCAGATAACACAGAATAAGCTTCATCACAGCCCATATACTCATTTACATCTGGAAAATTTCTTCTGCCATAGAAAGCAACATAGTCACAGGTTTGAGGAATCAAGGCCTGAGAAATTTCAGGGACAATGCATTGCAGCCATTAGCACACCTTCCACAATCTCTAAAGTAATTAAAAATATGATAGGGTTACATATGATTGGCCACATATTGCCCAAAATATCAGAATTAATAATGAAATAAACGTGGAGGAGTTCATGTAAGAAAACAATGCCCCAAGACAGGTGGCACACACCTTTAATCCCAGCACTCAGGAGGCAGAGGCAGGAGGATTTCCAGTAGTTTGAGGCCAGCCTGGTTTATAGAGTGAGTTCCAGGACAGCCAGGGCTACACAGAGAAACCCTGTCTTGAAAAATCAAAACAAAAAAAGAGAGAAAACAAAGCCCTGACTTACAAGTTTATACATGATATGTTTTATTTAAAAAAAAAACTTGCAGGGTTTGTCTGTTTGTAGTGGCTTATCATCCAAATAAATGTACAGATCATTTTCTCAGTGCATTATCAAAGTAGGAAATATTTAGTAATGACAGGCCTGAAGTTTCCACACTTAGTGTTCAACTGTTCAGTGTGCAATGCTGCCACACCGTCTAGAAACCCAACTGTGCCACAACAAAATGGCAACATGATTAATGCAATTAAAGGAAGTTCCATTTGGCAACTAAATTACTAGGATTTGAGGGTCTAGTCTAGGTGAATTTTCTAATTCTGCCACCAGCCCCATGTCACTTTGTCCATAGGTTACAATTAACAGCTGCCCCTGGGGGGCTTGGTCTCAGGACCCACCTTGGATACCTTAACATGTAGATGTTCAAATTCCTTACATAAATACAATGGCCTATCATTTGTATATAACCTATGCACAACAACTTCTTACGGACTTCAGTCGGCTCTAGAGTGTTTCTAATACCGGCTCTGCTGCAAATGCTGAGTAAGTGGTCACAATTCAATATTGCTGAGGGAACACTGATGAGACAAAAAAAGTATTTATGTGCTCAGTACAGATGAATGTTTTTCCTGAATATCTTTCATGCATGATTGTTTCAATCCATGGATACAGAGCCTATGAATACAGCAGGTTAAGCAGGGACCAGCAAGGTGGCTCAGCAGGGAAAGACATTCGTCATCAACCCTAGCCACCTGAGTGTGATTCCTAGACCAACATAGTAGATGGAAAGAACTGAGCCCTGCTTGCTGTCCACTGACCTCCACAGGCACATCACACTGTGGCACATATGCACACACATGCACACAAACACACGCACACAATAAATCAACGCAATTTTGTTAAATGCCACAGAGGGCTAACCATATAGTCCAACCATTTAATAATGTTCTGTTTTGAGGACACAGTCAACCAGAAACTGCAAGGTCCTTGAAGGAAGCACTACGTGAGGACAGTAATGCAGAGAGATGACCAGTCCCTAATGTCTACTTCTTTCACCTTGTTTGCTAATAGAAACCAGTATTCTAGTCCAGCTCATGGTCAGCTTTCTAGAGGCTCCTGGATTCCACGGCTAAACTTTTTCTAAGAGTGTGAATAGAAGTGATACGTGAAAATTCTAGGTCGTGTGTTCCTCTCCTTCCTCCTGGCTGAACTGCAGCTAAAATGTGAGAAAATAAAGCCCCATTCAGCCTGGCATGATGCTGTATCAGAAAGAGCAGAGTGACAAGATAGAAGGGACTGTGGGTCCCAACACTATACAACATTAGCCCGGGGCTGCTCACTTGGAAACTGGTCCATGAGGAGGGAATTTTTCTATCTGTAAATTATGCTTACTGACCTTTCTTATGGCATTCTTATGTAACACAAGAAGCGATATTAGTACAGGGATGCTGATGTGACAAAACCTAGGCTGTGAGATAAGAATGTAGCTGGGTACTAGAATGCTTGACTGCCATGCATGATGCCCTCGGATCCACCCCCAGCACTGTAATACATATGTTTATTTGTTTGTTTGTGTGTATCTGTCTGTCTCTCTCTCTCTCTCTCTCTCTCTCTCTCTCTCTCTCTCTCTCTCTCTCTCTCTCTGTGTGTGTGTGTGTGTGTGTGTGTGTGTGTGTGTGTGTGTGTGTGTGTGAGGCACTAGCTCAGGGGCAGTATACCAGCATGGAGAGAATGACGAGAAAGTATGACGCAAGCAGCCATACTGTGCTGTGATAAAACACCAGGTGCCCTGCCACCGGGATGTCTAGAAAGCAGACCATGACAGAGCTGTCATGTAAGTGGGACTTGAGAAAGTAGATTATTATTAGTCCATGTGAGGTACAACTTGCCACTTTTAGCAAAGTCCTACTAAGACACTGTTGAGCTGAGCATTTCATCCTAGAGTGTTTAAATGGACCTATACTGTTAATACTATATTGAGTATCAAGACTTGGTTAATTAACATTGTTCTTTCACTAATGAAACAGAGGTAAGGGTAAGATTTGCTGATGAGGATACCACCTGACAGACCACTGTAACATTACTCAGGTTAGAGACAAGACTTTGTGACCAGAGAACCAACGAGAATGTCAAAGAAAGGAAAAAGTATCACTCAGAGCTAATGACCAGATTTAGGAGAAAATGAACAGAGAGGGGTTGAGATGACCCAGAGTCATTCAAAAGATTGAGTAGGAGAATCAAAATAGTTTTCATATCACAGTGTTATTTCACTGTTTGTTTGAAAGAATAAATAATTTTTGCAATACTTTTTATTATTAAAAAATAAATAAGAGGTATGCCACACTATGAGTATGGTGGCACACTACTTTAATCCCAGCACTCAGCAGAGGCAGGCAGATCTCTAAGTTCAAGGCCAGCCTGGTCTACATAGTGAGTTCCAGGTCAGCCAGGGCTACACAGTGAGACCTTGCCTGGAAAAGAAAAGAAGAGAGAGAGAGAATTAGTTAGGGTGCCTAAAAACATACCTAGTAGTCAAAAATAAAGTAAGAGGGAAAAAGTTTAAGTAGTTAGAAAAAGAAACAGATAGAGAAAGGGGGAGGGGAACCGAGGGGGACACGGGGCGTTTGACTCATGCCCTCAAAACCACTGTCCACAAATATCTGTTGCCAGAGAGTGAAAATGGGAGAACGAAATGTCAGATGGGGACGGAGATTCCCACGCCCAGTGGTTACACTTTCAGAGGAAGCTGGATCGCAGCCCAGTGCAAGCAGAGTCTGTTCAGCTCCAGTCAGATACGTGACTGTTTGAAAGGAAAACTCATTTACCTCCTGGGAGACTCAACTCTGCGTCAGTGGATCAACTACTTTCCCAAAGTTGCAAAAAGTACGTAATCATTTTTATATTCTTTCAGAGACCCACGCTGACCCTATGGTGCTTTGAATGTGGTCTCCTTCCTCTTTGCCAAGGCTGGTTTGTTTTTTGTTTTATTTTACCTTCTAGGTTTGAGTCTTTAAATATATTTTTTTAATCTTCCTCTCATAAATATTGTTCTTCCTTTCCACATTACTTCACCATTACCTTCTACTTAAAGATCCTTTCTGTGTCCTTGTCAGCCCTGAAGCCTTTCGATCTGCATGGGACAGGACTATATAAGAAACATTTGCTTCTGGATGCCGAAAGGCACACTCTTGTTGAATGGAAAAAGCACAGCCATCCTTTCATCACGGTCCAGCTCTACTCTGTGATAGATGATGGCTATATTCCTCAGGAAATTGACCGCTTACCAGGTGACAAAGATACTGTCGTCGTCATTACCTTGGGCCAGCACTTCAGACCCTTCCCCATGGAACTTTTCATTCGTAGAGCCATCAGTATCCAAAAGGCTATTGAGCGACTCTTCCTCAGAAGCCCTGACACTAAAGTCATCATTAAGACAGAGAATATCAGGGAGACGTACTTAGATACAGAGAAGTTCGGAGACTTCCACGGTTATATTCAGTATCTAACCATGAAGGACATTTTCAAAGACCTTCATGTGGGTATCATTGATGCCTGGGACATGACCATTGCATGTGGTAGCTATCTGCTCCACCCGCCTGACGAAGTGATTGGAAATCAGATTGCCGTGTTTTTAAACTACATTTGCTAAAGCTGCATCACTCGGAGCCAATGCCCACCGGTCATGCCATGTGTTTCATCAGTGAAGTTTTATTCAATTAGGGTCTGTCCAAGAAGAAATCAAATAATTTAAAAGAATCTGTCTTGGAATAGAGATGCCACTCAGTTGAAAGAGTGTTTGCTTAGCAGGCATGGGGCCTTGGGTTCAGCTGTCAGCACCACATAAGCAGGGAATGGTGGTACATGGTTTTAATTCCAGCACTCAGGAGGACAGAAGTCCAAGGTCATCTTTAGTTACACAGTCAGGTCAAGGAGAGTCTGGGCTACCTGAAAACCTTGCTTGATTAAAAATAATAGTCATGGCCGGGCGGTGGTGGCACACACCTTTGAGCCCAGCACTCGGGAGGCAGAGGCAGGCGGATGGATCTCTGTGAGTTCGGGGCCAGCCTGGTCTACAGAGCGAGTTCCAGGATAGGCTCCAAAAGCTATGCAGAGAAACCCTGTCTTGAAAAACCAAAACAGAAATATTAATAATAATAATAGTCATAATCTTGACAGGAAACATACTTAAGAACAGTGACTATTAAAGACGGGATATAAAGCCAAGAAAACTAGGTGTGAAGGACAATCCCAGAATGCACTCGGTTTATCTCCGTGTTAATAAATACCGTTGTTCTTTAGGTAAGTTTGAGTCATGATTTCTATTACTCTTGGATGAACTAAGTGTCAGTAAAGGTTAAAGGGAACAGGGCTGTTATTGACATTATGTTCTGAGATTTTAGAAAAAGAAACACCTTTTTTTTTTGTTTCTGCAAAAGAGCAGAGAGTATCTAAGGCTTTGGGGACTAGCTACCTCTGTCACCAGTGTTCACTTCTGCCGCCAAAGCACAAATCAAGACAAACCTATAAGCAAATAAAAATGTTAGTGTTTAAAAAAAAAAATCTAGTCATTGAAGGGGTTTAGCGGCGGCACTTGTGGCTGGCGCTAGATGCTGTGGTGGCGGAAGAATCATGAGCCATGGTCACCTTTTCAGAGCTTTATTAGGAGGAAGGAGAGAGAGAGAGAGAGCATGGAGGACAGAGAGAATATGGAAAAAGGGCCCATGGGAGGACACACCCGCTTTTTAGGCTGGGATGCCATCACAGGCTGATGACATAATAAGAACATAATCCTTACAGTAATGAACACTGAAAATTGATTGGGGGAGCAGGGTTTTGAGACAGGGTCTTTCTGTGTAACAGTCCTGGTTGGCCTCGAACTCAGAGAGATCTGCCTGCCTCTGCCTTTCCGCAATGATTTTTAAGAAGCAGAAACCATTCTTAGACCACAAGAACTAAAATAAACAAACAAACAAACAAAATTAAACACAGAGTGACATGTTCAGCCTCTACGCCATGCTTTGCAGACACTTTATTTGAAACAAACAACAATAACAAAATGGGTAGAACTGAAAAACAACAACAAAAACAAAACCCTCAAAAACTAAAGAGGAAACCAGTGTCCAACTGAAAATAGGAGAAAACTCCAGGCCCTGAAAAAATAATCAATCAGAAAACCATAGGAAGCATTAGTTACTGAACGAAACACAGCCATCATTTCTTAGGATGTTAGCATTGCTTTTCCTGGGGAGACATGAAGGAAGATATTCCACAGTAATCTAGTATACAGGAAAGTTTGGGGGTCATTATTTAAAGGCGTATAGGTGGCTTTTTCTCTTCAGTACTGCAGAACCCAGGACCTTGAACATCCTAGGTGCTATCCTCTCCCACCAAGCAGCATCTCTAGTCTGTTTCCTAGGTTAGAAATAGGAGGCATACGTTTGGATGTTGCTCCTCAGTAAGAAATCAAGCTAGGGAATCTAGGCTGAGAAAAACAGATGCCAGCTAATAGTCCTCCCGGGTCACAAGTTCTAGGCCAGCCCAGTCTACAAGTGAGTTCCAGGCTAGTGTGGACCGAGGAAGACAAACAGAAGTCAGAGTCCTAAGTTAGTTGGTCGTTTTCTCAGAGAAATAAGAGACTAAAATGGAAAATTTGAGATGGTAGCCTAACACAAGCTCATCACACAAAATTTTACTTTTTATCCCTGTAGAAACAGATGATCAGACAAATGACTTCAATTGTGTGGTATCTGCACAGAAATTACGCACACCTTTCAGTGTATTAAGTCATAGGCATTTAGTACTTTTTGACCCATGGTAAATTATCCTTTAAATATTTACTGTGGTGAAACATATATTATGCTTATAAATATGTACAAAATTTAGAAAATAATGCAAATCTTTAAAAACTGTTTGCCTGAGTAACTCAATGGTTAGGAATAAGCACAAAGGGAGATGTGTATGATTTGGGTACACATTGTTCCCAAGTAGAAGGATTAGACACTCCTATAGTTTAAATGCAATTCTAGTCAAAGTCTGACTGGATTGTGTGTGTATGTGAAATCATTCTCAATTTTCTAAGGGGATTTTTAGGGACCAAAAAAAATTAGATATTGCTGAAAATTAATAGTGTTAAAGAAGTTCCTTTCTAAATATCAAGATTTGCTTCAAAGCTATCAAAACACGACAGTGCCAACATGGCAGGATAGAAGGGTAGGAAGAGCTCTGTACATAGAGTTGCTTACTTTGTGATAAACAGGGCACTGATGAGCAACGAGGAAGACCGTTTCCTGAGTCAGAAGGTCAGGGGAGATACCTGCCAATAAAGCGCTTGCTATGCAAGCATGAGAACCTGAATTTGGATCCTCAGAATCCACATCAAGAGCCAGATGTAACAGTGCACATCTGTAATCCCAGCTGAAGAAGAGGAGACAGGGAGATCCCTGGAGTTCACTGACCAGCCAACCCAGGCAAATTGGTGAGCCACAAATTCAGTGAGAGACCCTGTCTAAAAAAATAAGGTGGAGAGAGACTGAGGAAGATACCTGATGTCAACTTCAGGTCTCCACGTGCACCTCACACACATGTATGCACACACCCACATGGATACATACGCAACATACTCATGCCACACACACACATCAATAAATGCACACCTAGAAATGAATAAATAAGAGTTCTGGGAAAGCAGGACATAAGAAAGTTTTCATACATTACACTAGTCTCCAAAAATAAAATAAATTTCAAGGGGAATAAAGCTATAATTGTGGAAAAAACACAGCAGGGAAGATAAATGACAAGTGGGGTGGGAGGCACTTGGAAATTATATCCTTAAAAATAAGCAAATCTATCTGTCATTTAGAGATCTCTTGAGAATAAAAAGAAAAAGATCCAGAGAGAAAAATTAGCCATACAGTAAATGTGTGTGTTAGCCCTGAATGTGTGTAATTCGGAACTTTAAATGGCCTTTATGCACAGAAAAAGAAACACATATTTTAAAAAAAAAAGAAATGCACATTAAAGTTGAACTGAGAGATTTCTCATCTATCAGACTGGCAGAAGTCCAAGTTTGGGTATACACTGTGCTGATGGGCCTGTGGAGAAGCCGGCGCTCTCAGGCATGGCTGATGGAAACACAAAACGGCATGGTGCCTATGGAGGGAAATTTGGGAATGTTAAGAAAAATTACATATGTATTTGTTTACCTTTTGGCCCAGCATTTGGAAAGCTACTAGCGGAAAAAAAAAACACAAAATGACTATGTGCAAGATTATCCATCGGAGCGTGATTAGTGATAGCAAAAAATGGGAAAACAAACCAAATGTGCATCTGATGGAGGACCAGTAAGATGAATTATGATGCCTCTTTCAGAACAATACAGTGCAGCATAAAGAGAGACTAGGAAACTCTTTAAACTGTAGCAATGAAACCTCCAGGATAAGCAGGGGAAAGAATGGTGCGGTGTGTACTGTGCAACCTCTTGGGTAAGAAAAATGGAAGGATACCATTAAACGTATTTGTTGATACTAACAACAAGAAACTAACGGAAAATAAACAAGAAATGGATAAAATGCAGTTTGTAAAATCTTGAAGGATTTGTGGGTAGAAGTAAGACTTCTGTAATATACACTGTTACATAGTTTTCATTCTGGAGCCACATGACTTGCACATTCAACACATTAAATCAAGAATTTAAAAAAAAAAAATAAGAGACTGCCGGGCGGTGGTAGCGCACGCCTTTAATCCCAGCACTCGGGAGGCAGAGCCAGGCAAATCTCTGTGAGTTCGAGGTCAGCCTGGGCTACCAAGTGAGTTCCAGGAGAGGCGCAAATCTACCAGAGAAACCCTGTCTCAAAAAACCAAAAAAAAAAAAGAGAGACTGGTTCAATATCTGACCCACATGATGGAGAGTGAGAACCAGCTTCCTCGAGTTATGCTCTGACCTCCACTCATGCACCATGGTGCCCCTGCCCCCACACACAAAATACATAAAAATGTAATAAATTATTATTTTTAAAAATAAAAAATAAATTCTGAAAAATGCAGTCACTATTCACAGCAGGCTTATACTCTAAGAAATGTTTCCAAGGGTGCTTGTGCTTACAGAAACCAAGGTGCTGTAGGTCAATCAACATGGCCTCTTGGTGCAATCAATATACATGAAACATCTGAGGCCAATGCCAGTACAATACGTGTGTTGTATATAATAAACTGCATTTTTCATAAGTGCAAGGAAACACTATGAAATGATAGCATACTAACTACACGAGCCAGTAACATACTTAGTACTAATATCACGAGTTATACCTGTCCTTAACTGCTAGACTTTTGCAGAACCAGCAGCAGAGTATATTCATAAGGGCATTCATCACCACAGATATCAATAATATCTGGCTAAAACTGCACAATAGCGCCAACATCAGTGGCAACAGGAGATTTCCAGCCCCATTATGAGCTGGTGGGATCACTGTTGTACATTCAGTCAGTTGTTGACGGGACCACATTATGAGCAGTGTAACTATAAATCCAATGCAAATTAGTATGGTGACACAAAGCACTTCTTTTGTTTTCTCTCTGGGATTAACACATTTAAGAATGATGTTTTGACAATACTTCCTCGGGTGAAATATATTTTCAGAATAACTAGAACTTGGGGCTAGAGGGATGACTCAGTGGCTAAGAGCACTTCCTGCTCTTTCAGAGGACCAGAATTCAATTCCCAGCACCCATGTCAGGCAGCTCACGACCACCTGTAACTACAGCTCTGACACACTCTTCCAGCTTCCATTGGCACCAACACACACACACACACACACACACACACACAAAAATTTTTTTTAAATCTTTAAAAATAGAACAGAAAATACCAACTTTACACAATAATCTTATTAGAAATAATATTGCCATTATTTTGCAAGTGTTTTTATATTTTGTTGAATAAAGTAAATGATTATTTTAATGACATTAAGGAAATTAGATTTTTAGTGTAAAAAGATGTAAATTAAAAGGTTTTTAATTTATTTTTGAAATTAAAATACAATTACATTGTTTCTCTTCCATCTCTTTCCTCCCTCCAGCCCATCCTATGTACCCTCTCTCTTGTTCTCTCTCAAATCCATGGTCTCTTTTTCTTTAATTGTTGTCATTCTTTTGTGCATGTGTGTTTGTGTGTGTGTGTGTGTGTGTGTGTGTGTGTGTGTGTGTTTCTCAATATGTATCTACAACCTGCTCAATCCATACAAAGTAACTTGTACATATATGATTTCAGAGCTGGCCACTTGAGACTGGGTATATTGTCACCTCCATGCAAGTTCCATCAGGGGATGAGAACCCCATGTTCTAAGCACAGAATGAGCCTAGAGAGGGCAGGTGGCCCAGTGATTGCATTGGTCCCAGGCCTCATCCTAGCTAAGGAGAGATGTACAGTTTCTACAAGGTTTAAATCCAGTTGGGAAGAAGGGAAGGAAGAAACAGTTGTGGATATATAGATGTCCATTTTTATAAAACAAACACTGTGGGACACAGAGAGTTATTCTCCATTCCAATATCAGTGGGCGACCTTACTTCACTCTCACAAATAGCTGGGTCACATGGATAAACAAAATCAGCAAAGAAACTACTTATAGATCTCTATTGCAGATCAAATAAACTTAATGAATATGTACAGAATAGTCTACCCAACAACAGAATAATACATATTCTTGTCATCAGCATGGGGAATTTTTTTTCCAAAACAAGCCATATTTTAGGTCATATGACAAGTCTTAACAAATACAGGAAAAAATTAGAAATAATTTCTTTTTTATCTACTTAGGACAGAATGAAACTAGAAACCAAGAAGGATGAAAAACTACAGAACTATTAAAACACATGGAGATTGAACAATACACTGTTGAACAGTGGGTCATTGTAGAAATCAAGAAAAATTTTCTTGTATTGTATTTATTTATGGGGAGGCGGGGCAGGAGGAGCCCATATGTATCACAGTGCATGTGCAGCAGTCAAAAGTCAATGCGCTGGTGATGGTTCCCTCCTTCCACCGTGCAGATCTCTGAGACCAAACCTAAATTGGCAAGCTTGGTGCTACAGCATGCATCCCCTCACATAACAATAATTAATAAATAATTTGTGCAGGGACACAGCACATTTTACAAAGAACTCAAAACAAAGTAACAGCATACTCACCTATGAACTGGAAACAAAGTTTCAAAGAATTATTATTTTTAAAATAATAATTTATTACATTTTTATGTATTTGGGGGGGGCAGGGGCACCATGGTGCATGAGTGGAGGTCAGAGCATAACTCGAGGAATCTGGTTCTCACTCTCCATCATGTGGGTCAGTAATTATCAGATGTACACACAACAATAACTAATAAATAATTTGTGCAGGGACACAGCACATTTTACAAAGAACTCAAAACAAAGTAACAGCATACTCACCTATGAACTGGAAACGAAGTTCTGTGTTCATAATGAGGATGATTATTTGAACTGCTTTCTAAATTTGTATTTATTAATGTAAGTGTGCATGTATGTGTGTGTATGTGTGACAGAGAGAGGGGGGAGAGGAAGAGGGAGAGAGGGAGGGGGGGGAGGGAGAGAGGGAGGGAGGGGGAAGGAGCGGGGAGAGGGGGAGAGAGAGAGATTGGACATGGGCACATGTGCCATGGCTCATATGTGGAGGTCAGACAACAAGCGTGTGGAGTTTGTTCTTTCCTGTCCACCTTTGCACAGGCTGGGGTTGTGGGGATCGAACTCAGGTCACCAGGCTTGCAGAGCAAGCACTTTAATCATTGAGGCATCTCGCCAGCCCGGGACATTCTTTAATGCTCTGATTTCTGAGTTGGAGGAGGGACAGAGGCTGACTTTACGATGTAAGGAATGGGAAGTCAAGTAAGGACCAGGAAGCCTGGGACTTCCACAGTTTACAGTCACCTTGATTGTGCTAAGGATACGTGCTGAAAGCCAGAAATGCCTTGGTGGAGAAGACATTGAAGTAGCTATGAGGAAGGTGAGGCTCTGTTCTGAGACTCATTCATTCATTGAAGTCGTATTTAATCAACAGCTATTACTTGGGAGGCCATGAGATGAACAGAGCTCAACAAGACCAACATGGTCCCTACCCGCCTTTACTGAGCATCTAGACAGAATACAGCTAAATAGTGAGCTAGTGCAATTGTGTGTAACACCTATCACAGAAAGATGCCAGGGGACCCAGGAGTCACCTGCCGTGCATTGGGGATCCAGAGAATGTGTCCTAGAGGAAATGATATCTACAGAGTGCAGGGAGGCAAATACAGAGGCCGAAGAACATCCCAGAGAGAAGGAATGCTCCAGAAGGAATTGTATGTTCCAAAGGAGTACTGTTTCCATGTGACTTAATACACACACCCCTTCCTTGTGTGCTGTCTCATTTTCAAATGGCTCATGTAGTGAGTGGTTCACAGAATATTGCTGGCATGTCTATTAGAGTTAACTGTATGCCTCACTTTTACAATTACCAGGAGTCCACAAAGGTTGTAAGAAAAAGGTCTACTTTCTTCATTTGTTCAAAAGAAGTCTCACAGTTTAATCTACTCCAGGTCAGACTTACACTGCCTGGTGATATATTGTGTGTAGAAGCATTTTTCTTTAAAGTTAGGAAAGATGTAATATTCTGATAGCTTAACAACAACTTTATAACTTGAGATGTGAATTTGAGTGAGATGTACAGAGTTCAAACTACTATGTCTGTGCTTCCTACTAAATTAAAAAAACATTTAGTGTGTGTGTGTGTGTGTGTGTGTGTGTGCGCGCGCACATGCACACTCAATATGGAGCTTGTATGGGGCTTCTCTCTTTCCATCATGTGGGACTTAGGGATCAAACCCAAGTTGTCAGGCTTGGCAGCAAGCTCCTTTACCTGTGGAGCCATCCCACCAGCCCTCCTACTGAATTTGAAATGACTCGAGTTTTGACTTTTAATGCCTTATGACAGAGACTCTAGAATGTAAACCAATGGGTGAGTGTTCCTGGAGCTGAAGAGGTGGCTCAGTGATGAAGAGCACTTGTTACTCTTACAAAGGACCTGACTTCCGTTCACAACTTCCATACTGGGTGGCTCACAATCACCTGTCATTCCAGACACAAAAGATCCAATGCACTCTTCTGGCTTCCTTGGGCACTGGCACACAGGACACACACACACACACACTTAAAAAACACTTCTTATGAGATGACACGCACACAGGAAGTAGTGATGAACCAAAATTATCAAGTTCCCAGATCCAGACTACAATGTCGTGAGGTACAAGAATGTCAGACAGGACAATGTGAAGTACCTGCATGTTATGGATGTGGTGGTGGATGAACATATTAATGACTAAGACGCCCTATACCAGCTTTCAAAGCCAGGATGATTAAAGAATCAGTTTGCTGTTTTGTGAGGAGACAAGAAGAGAGAATGGCTATTTGTAAATGTTCCAAATAAAATTGATGTAATGACAAAAATGTTCTCGATCCCAAATGAGTAAGTGTATTCTAGATTCCTTTCCTTAAGGGCCTGAGCTTCTTAGACTCATTTTCAAAAATTCTTTCTTGAGGGACCCAGTGGGATGGCTTAGCAGGTAAAGGAACTCATGATCCAAGTTAGATCCTCAGGACCCACACGGTGGAAGAAAAGAACTAGATCCCACAGGTGGGTCCTCTGGCTTCCAGGGGCACATGTAGCACACCCCTCTTGCCCTCCTCCACATATCTAAATGAATAAAGGCAATTTAAAAACTGCTTCTTGAGCGTTGAGTAACACCTAGACTTCACAGACAGCTGCAGTGACTTGACCCAGCCTTTAAACAGCAATTTTGCCCATGTCGATGTCTTGAGTGTGGGCCCTAACGTCAGTCAACTGCCATGGTTTGGAGAGACTGCTGCATTCACCCCTGCCTCAGCGCTGAAGAGAACACATATACACACCAGTGTTGATATGAGTAGCTGCGGTGGGTGCGGGTAGAGGACCGCACAAACACGGAAGACGAGTTTACCTTTATATTCACGCCCACTCAACCTCGCATGGCTATGGACACAGCACAGGTGCTCAGTAAGTGAGTGCCTGGCAGCCATTAGTCAGTTAGGGACACAAAAGGGGGGCACGATCTGCCAGCTTCCTCCTCTGGTGCCAAGGAAGCAAAAAAGACAGCTGACGGTTTTGAAAATTGCTGCATAGAGAAAGGGTGGTATACAATACTCTACTGTTGAACATGACTTACGTGGGGTTTTTCGGTTGGTTGTTTTCTTTGTTGTTGTTTTTGGTTTGGTTGGGTGAGTGGGTGCGGATTTTTATTCTGTGTGTGTGTGTGTGTGTGTGTGTGTGTGTGTGTGTGTGTGTGTGTGTTTGGTTGGTTTATTGGTTGGGGAGGGTAGCCGTAAAGTGAAAAGTGAATAAAAATGCAATATTGAGATAAAGTCCTTAGCTCCCAGCAATTATTCTTTGGAAAGGACACAGATTTCTGAAATTTGCAAACAGACTGAATTAAACACCAGCAATGACTCTATGAAGGGAACTTTCACTTACCTACCTCAGGGGAGATTTCCACTCTGCGGGGTGGATTTACTGCCTCCCAAAGCTGTTAAAAGTACATTTCTCCTATTTTCATTTTAAATTTTAAGTTCAGTTCTCTGAAAGTCATTAACTGTGATCTTTCTGTGTTGTCGGTGTTATTCATCTTTTAGATTTGTGTTTCATTATTATAAAATATTCACGTCCCCTGTCACCAAAACATATTAAAAATATAAATCCTCCTCACGTGCCCTTCTGGAAGCTCTACCATTGCAGTCTTACTCCCTAGAAGCCAGTGGTCACCGCAACAATGCTCTAAATGGAATTGTCTTAACATCTCCATATTTTGCATTATTTCACATCTATTTATTTGGGGGTGAGGTGGGGTGGGCACACATGTGAAGGTCAGAGGACAATTTGGGGGCATCAGGTCCCTCCTTCCAGGTTCCAGGTTCCAGGTTGGAAATCAGTTCAT